GGGTGGGGACCGCCGGCGAGCTTCGCAAGCGGCACACGATAGCAGTGCGCCGCCGGGCCGGCCCAATGGTTTTAAAAAACAAAAAAATTTCCAGTATGGGGCCGGCCCTGTGGCGCACTCGCTAGAGTGCGGCGCTTGGGAGTGCGGCGGCGCTCCCGCCGAGGGTTCAGATCCCACATACAGACCGGTTCCCGCTCACTGGCTGAGCGAGGCGCGGGAGCAACACCGAGGGTTGCAATCCCGTTGCTGGTCCCCGTCTGGTACGGGGGCGACACTGAGGGTTGCGATCCGTTGCCGGACACCGAAAAAGACAAAAAGGAAAAAATAAAAAATAAAAATAAAAATAAAACCATTTACAGTAAATGGGTCATTCACTATACATCAAAATTTCTCTTCTGAAGGTACAATGAAGCTCTCAACCTGGCAATAAAGAATATTTTATATTACATGGAAGAACAGTCTTGTCTTTAAAAAGCAACAAGACCTAGGATAGAAGTAAAACCTTCAGAAAAAATAAATTCTTTATTATTCCTGGAATAATTGTCACTCCCTCAACTTGTATCTCCCTGCTCGCCTTGGAGAACACTGAGTTGTCTCACTCCTTCCTTCTCTGGTCCAGCAAGAGGGTTATGCATCGGGCAGAGCAGTAAAATAAAACACAGTCCATCAATTTTGTTGCTCACCAAAAACTGGTTTTTAAAAAGATGGGAAGGAGAAAAAATAAGAAACATGTTGCTCACTGCTAGGAATTTTCCCCTGATTATATTTCTTATGATTCTTCAAATAGCCTGTTTGTTTCCCTGCCTGCAAAGCTGAAGTTAACATTGTGAAAGGCTCTAGATATGAGAGCATTAGGTACAATATCAGACAAGTCTCAAAGCAAACAAAATTGTGAGTAAGAACACAATACATACGTGATAACAGCGTTCAGATTTCCAGTAGACAGTCAAGTCTGTCCTGAGTAGTTCATTATGAATGAGTAGCAAAGCCTCATCCATCTTCAACCCCACATGCCTTTTTTTGTCTAAGTCTGGTAAGAATTAGAAAGAAAAGTTAAAAAAAAAGACAAATAGGGCATCTGAAAGGTATGTTTGAGACAAAGTACACCTGTGTGAACAGCAGCCTCACAGAAGTGCTTTTCAAATGCCTGCACTCCGGCATCTCCAGGGTCTCTCACATCTTACTTTGTGAACACACAGATGTATGCATGTGCATGCAGGCTCACACACACGCAGGTCCCCTTTTGCACAGATGCCTCTACTACAAACCAGGAGTTAGTCAACACCATTCACATCCAGTGTGGAAAAGGACTGTACACATTCCCCAAGTGCTGAGACAAGACATACACTGAATTCAGTAGTTTCCATAAAATAACGACATATTTATTAAATAATAAACCTCATGAGCCAGGTGTTTCTCCATTTTACAGATGAATAAATTAAGGCTTACAAGAATTAGATGATTGCCCATGGCCACAGAGTTTTTCAGTGAAATCACTGATTTGAACCCAATTTATGTGATTCCAAAGTCCAAACTTTCCTCTGCTATGTTACTCGCTGTTAGCACGGCCTCTAAAGGTGAGAAAGAGAGTTCCAGTCAAGATGGTGGAATGGACGGTTCCCAGTGTCACTCTCTCCCACAAATCAATTTACAACTATAAAAAAGTAACATCAGGGCCAGCCCGGTGGCGCACTGAATAGTGCACCGCTTGGGAAGCGCGGCGGCGCTCCCGTCCGAGGGTTCGGATCCCACATACAGACCGGCTCCCGCTCACTGGCTGAGCGAGGCACGGGAGCAACACCGAGGCTTGCGATCCCGTTGCCGGTCCCCGGTCCGGTACGGGGGCAACACTGAGGGTTGTGATCCGTTGCCGGACACGGAAAAAAGACAAAAAAAAAAAAAAAAAAAAAAAAAAACAAA